TCTGTCACCCTGAAGTAACTGAGGTGGTTTATTAAATAATTCTGTTGTGACTCAAGCGAGTGCTGGTTACTAAATGGTCCTAGGACCAACTGTGCTTCCTTGGGACTAAGGACCTGATTATAGTTAGGCTTGATGCTGAGACTTATCTGCAACTGTCTTCATGCTCATAAATCAGAGCTTCACTGTACTTCTATCCCTTCAATTCCCTTTTCTCCCATAGCAGATCTTTCATGTCAGTGCTGAGCTTTTCTCCCAGGCTCCCTCTCTCCTGCAAAGAACATTAATTCGTTAACTGTTATTAGAATGAATCTGCCCTAATGGACCTGTTCTGACCAATGCATTCGTGTTTGCTTCAAGCAGTCTCTGGTCTATTTTAATTACTCTTCTTTTGGTAATTACTGTCTCTGTCTTTACACTCCTTTGTTCTTCCCCCGTTTTGCTGATTCAAGCCTTTGAAAAGAGGTTTTTCAATTTCATAAGATCAGATAGAAGTCCTTCAACTCCTTGATGAATTGCAGTTTCTCTTACAGCAAAATTGTCCAGTAGTTCACAGGAAGGAGTATCCATCACTTCTATTTACAAAAGTTAGGCTTCTGTCACTTTGATAGGGGACAATAAGTAAGGACAAATAGCAGGAGCATCTTAGCAGAAGTTTATCCTCAAGATCAAAGTCTAAATGACATAAAAGTATGTGTCATAAATTTAAATCCTTTAATCCTTCAAAAAAAACCACCTGTGTAACCTCTCCTCCCACTCCCCCCCCCCAAATAAAAGTTTACCATGCTAAAAATTCTAAAAATATTCTTATAAAATACAGATGTTTGCTGTTCATATCTAATTAAGGTTAAAAATTGAATTGAACAACACTGGATAGATTTTTGGACAAACTGAAAAACAGGACAAAATACGGACAAGATTCCATTAAGAACTTTAACTGATCTTCTATTGTCTATCTTTGTATGGTGAATTATACATAAATATTCTATTATAATGTGCTTCTGAGAGTTAATGGTGTAGCCATAGTGTTGTCTGAGGCTATGATGGTATTCGGGGCATTTTTATGGGCAAGAGAGACTTCTGTTTGTTGTGTGTAGATTGTGGTCAAAATGGATAAATGTTAGCAGGTACAGCCCTCAGGTGATTCATGTGGAGGACGCTGATGATATTTTCAGAGTCACACAGAAGTGGAGCTTAGATAACTCTGATGATAGAGATAAATGACTTTTTGAGGCTTGTTTTTGTTGGATGATACTATGATCTGCGACTATTACTATGACTTCTATTATTATTTCTTGTAGAAGCCTAAATAAAAATATCAGTTCAGGAAAAAAACCTTATAGCCCATTGAGCTGGGGATTTTAACACTAGCATTGTAATTAAAATACTGTACTTCGGAGTAGAGAAGTAGGGGGAAGGCCGAAGACTTGGACTAATACTGAAGTTTCTACTGCTCTCATTGGTAGTTACAAACCAATGAGACCATGTAGTGAGTTGAAAACTGTTCTGTTTTGTGTGTTTTATTATTATTATTTTAGGGAGTAGGCTGAGCTTTGTATCGAGGACAGATAACCTTGTATCTGGTCACCGAGATTTTTATTTTATCTTCCTTCTTTTTCTCAGCTACAGAGTACTGAGCTGGATAAAAACTTGAGCAAGTATGGCAAAAACTAGCTTGCCAATAATGTTTTTGCTTGATCAGTATTGGCACTCCCTGTGCAATCGCATCCATTTTGTGTTCTTTGGAATGTCTACACAGAGTGTGGTTGGGTTTTCTTTGTTTTCATCTTATTTTCTAATGATTTGCTCTTTATTTTTTATTCAGCTAGAAATTTCTGGTTAAATGTTTAACCTAAACAGTACTGCTACATGGTCTTTTTTCAATTTGTGCAGATTTTCACTCTGATTAATTATTTTATCTCCAAATCCTATGTAATGCAGGTAGTAGACACTAGCAGCCACTGTGATTGCACTCATACTATTTCCACTTCTGCCTGTGTTGCATCACGTTTGAAGTCTAGCCTTTTCTCTAGGTTACACCATTTCAGATCCTAGTGCTGAAGTATTTGTGCTACTCCTTTATTTTTTTAAAGCCTTTTTGTACAGTCTTGCTAGCTCCCGCATAAAGCTGTTATCTGCCAGTTGTCTCAAAAACTAATTTTCTGGCAAGGAAAGCTGTATGAGAACAGGTTATTTGCTTTCTTTGAGTCTTCAGTATTGTATCTGTTTACAGATGCATAATCTCTAGAGAGCTAGCTGCTGACCAAGACTTGTGAAGGGAACAGGCTAAATGGTTTTCCTCATTTAACTTACAGCATTCTGGATGTCAGAAAACATCACAATGAAATATATTTTGGTATTGTTTTGTTTGGAAATGTTTCTAGATTTTGATAATCCTTGCCATGATTTTTGTTATCAATAATTGTGTATTATGCTCATTCTCTTTATTAGTTTTGTTGTTGTTGTTGTTGTTTCTTTCAGTAATGGGAGTTTTCCTGCAATCCCTCAGCTACAAACAATCATTCAAGTAGCTGATACAGTTTCTGTTGAAATGTCTGAGGTAGTCAGTACCATACCAGTGGCATTCATAACCTCTGATGTCCACTAAATGCGATTGCAAAGAGCCCCTGTTCATGAAACTTTATGTGCCAAAATCCATTTAGCTGTTCTTTAAACAGCCCCAACTGCAGAGTTTTGTTAAGCTTGGCTAAGTAAAATCTCACTCCCCAACCCAGTGTAACAAGGTGGATCTGTTCTAACAACATTATTGGAAAAAGTATTTTTGTATGCTTAACAATTGGTAGTTTAAATGTACATTTTCTTCTGAATATTGTCCTTTCTGTCCTACTGCTGGTAGGTTTTGTATGTTACCATCTATAGCCTTTGACCACTACAGCGAAAGGAAGCTACATGTGCTGAAAAAGAGAGATGTTTGTGTATCTCATTTCCTTGTGGATTATCTACTTTGACAGTAGTTAAAGTAGAAAACCACCAGAAAGCACATAGAAAAGCTCTGGAAAACAACAGGAGAAGTATTGATTAGGAGCAGCCTTCCCTGACTCCAGTTGCTCTGCATCATTTTTAAATTGGGGAAAAAAAAAAAAAAAAAGTTCAGAGGGATTGTAAGAACTGAAAATGCTGACCAAAGCAGGAAAGGGAGCATGTCTGGCTTACTCAACCCCTATTTGGTCTTACTCAAATTATCATTAGAGACTGAGCTTTTGTAAGAAATGTTGTAAAATGGTCCTTTGTGCTAAGCTACCACCCAGAATTTAAGAATCTCCTATATAATTGGATGAACTTTGTCTTTAAAGAAGGCAGAATTTTTGCTTAGCTAACATCACGGGTCCCCACAGAAAGAGGTATATAAAGTGGTGTGTATGTAATCTTGGTGGCCAAGTCTCAACTTGGTTGAGACCTGCAGCAGGCAGGGGAGGTACAAAAGCTGTGGCTGCTGCTTCATGGTTGTGCTTGAGGCAGACTAACAGGGGCCAAAGTGCATTTGGAGCTGTAACGCCCTTCCTGTTTTATTCTTCTTCTACTGCAGACCACTGTTGCTATAGTGCTCACATTCCTTACACTTTTATCCATATATTTTATTTTTTATCTTTTTAATGTAAAACTTCAGTGACCATAGTGTCGTGTTCTGCTCATGTGCTTGTTGTTGTTACATGCTAGATGGCAGTCCCAAGTACGTATACTGATCTCCTTACGTTCTTTCCGTTCAGCTGCATGTGTGGTTTTATTTGTTGTTTTGTTTATAGCGCAGAAAGAGTTCTATAACAGTTAGTGGGTGTAGGCCTCATGTCACCGATTTGTCATAGTTATGTGTACTTCAAAACGTACAAGTCATGGGTTTCTGTCAGTATTCATAAGAACTGGGGTTGTGCTTTATTTTTCCTGGCTCCTGATCCATTGAGAATAATTTGATCCTTTTTATTGTTTCCTTCATTTGGAGTTACAGTATTAATCAAATATTAGTTGTCTCATATGCACTTGTCTGCTGCTTTCCCACATTACAAATACTTGAATGCAAAATGATGTTGCTTTTGAGCAGAGAACAAAATGTTGTTGCTATATATGGCTTTTTCTTTTCTGGCTTGTTTCATTTAACATAGAAACAGAAGTCGTCTTTTGTATTACAGAAAGTTTTATTGCTACTGTACAGTAATCATGATGAAGTGCATGCTTTTTATTATTAAAATTTCAAAATTTTTGAAATATAAATATAGTAAAATATATACGCACTCCTACCTGAGATTGGAGGACAGCCAGTACCTCTGAACAAAGACACTTGATTCCTGGTATGTCAAAGTACTTTGGAGAGACCTCAGCAGGCTTCCCACCACTGCAGAATGTAGAGAGAATGAAGTATTTCCAGTACTGCTGCTCTGGACCCAAGAGCAGCTTTTGTTGAATTAGAATTTAGGACCAGCTATGTGAGAATTCATTTACTCAGTAAATTAAATGCTTTTATGTGAGCCTGGGTATATTTAGAGCTTGGTTAAGAGGCTCTCATAGTAGTCTGAATACTTTTTTTTTCTCCATCCTATCCCTATTGTCATTAATATCTATAAATCTTAATTGAAGTTACAGAGCTGACAAAACGTGCTAGTCTGTAGTCAGCTGGGATGAGAAGTGGCTCTGGTCCTAGGCCAGCAAAGGAATCAACACTAGTTAACCAGTTCCAAGTGCACAGGATCAGTGCTTTCATGTTAGAAAGAAGATGGTCATACCTCAGAGTTAGTTAAACATGAGTAAGGAGGAAAGATGGGTAGAGGTGTCCAGTGCTCAGACACACTGTGCATGGTTCTGAATATGCGTCCATCATAATAGGCCAGCTGCTTTTTATTTAAATGCTCACTTCTCCTGGCTGCAGACTGGTTTGCAGAATTAACACTTGGAGAAATGAGGATCAGGGTATGTAATCACTGGTTGAACAGTGTCAGAGTAGATGCCAGGGAACTGCAGAAAATATTTCATTACTAATGATACAGAATTAATGCTGTTTCATTTTTTTATTGACAAGTTTGGTGATTGAGGTGCCACAGGCAAGATTCAGGTATCTCTGCAGGTGTGCATGTGTGTTTCGGGGTACAGCAGTCCTGTGACAACAAATATCCCACCTTGACTTTTGTGATTTTAGCTAACACTTTGTGTCAAGAATGCCTTTTTGGACTAATTCTCATCTGTCCTCTGGAGCTCAATTTAACTTTTACAGCAAATACCAACTCTGCTCTGCTTCCTGCTCAGAGGTGTTTGCTGAGGCTTCTGGAGGTATTAAAAGCTGCAAATCTGAAAAATATGAAGTCTTGTTTCTTTTTTCTCCTGTTTGAACTTATTGGGACACTGTGCAGGCTCCACTGACAGTGGGTGCCCTCTTCCTGCCCCTGGCTTTATCACACACAGGGTATGTTTTATCTCCTCCCCTCCCTGGTGTGGCTGAAGGCTTTTGCAAGTCGCTGCCATCTTCCTGAGGACAAAAGGCTCTAGGGAGAGACATGCTAGACTGATGAAGAGAGAGAAAGCTTTTAGATGCTGTGTTTTCTGTCAAAGAAGGAAAAACAAAAAGAAGCTAGAATAAGCAGGAAGAGTCTCCACAGACTTGACAACTGAACTTTGGAATGAGCTGTAAAGTGCTTTTTAGCTGTTCTGTGCATTGGTGTTTAAGATGGCAACTGCCTTGAAAGCTGAGCACTCTGTTTCTTCTAGTGTTCACCCAGAGCACTATGGAAGGCATGAGGGGAAAAAAGCAGTACTCACCCTTTGCTTCAAGAAATTAGAGCACTCAGGCTTAATCAGCTCGGGTCTTCTGCTTCACAGTAGAGTGCCATTTATAAGTGAACATACAAAAAAAAAAAAGAAACTCTCAATCTTACACCTGGGATGAGAAAGACTTGAAATAAATTTCAGAATTTAAACTGATCGGTCTCAAGGACTCTTGGAAAAATAGTACTGTATTTAGGTTGTCCTGTTGTATGGGTTTATAAGTTCATGAACTTAATTCATTTAATAATGTTTTTTTCTCTCTGACTCTGCCTTGTGATGCTTAACATTAAGAAGAGTTCCCAGGTAGATTGCAAATATACTACTGCAGCATGCTGCATGTCTTTGTCACTTTAGTCAAGATCTTTTCCTTAGTCTTGAAATATGCTTTATGTTTTATCAGGGCTTGACAGACTTTTTTTTTTTAACCTTTTTATTATGAAAATGATTCACACCTAACGCAGCCCTAGATTCTGCTGCATTATAGTTTTGTCTAATGCTTTAAAGAGGCAAGCTTCCACACAATGAATCCACAAAAGTAAGTACAGCTATTGTAAAAATGCACAGATTATTCTGTTTAGCTAAAAGGGAAAGGAAGGGTTTTTTTGGTTGTGGGACTTATTTTTATTTTTAGGTCAGCATTTAACTGTAATCCTTGCTCCCCACCCACTTCTTTCTGTCCTTCAGAAAGAACAGTAATTCAGTTCTGTTTGTCTGGAACTTTGTAATAATGGAAAAGTATAGTTCCTTCTACAGTGAAGTGACCAGTTCCTTTCAGTAGCAATATGAATCCAAAGTAAGACAACGCACAAGAGTATTACGACCAACTTAGTAGTATAAGGATGCTATTAATTTTTTTTTTATTATTATCAGTTTCTAAACAGAACCAAAATCCAGAGCATGGGGAGTGTTTTACGCAGAGCACCACTGGAAGGTGAGGATGTGGTATATGAGGTGTGCCTAGAATTTCTGTGGGGTTTGATTTTCATTAAAGCTAGTGTGATGTATTATTTCGTGTTTTGCATCCTAAATCAGGAGTTACTTGTGCTGTAATTTGAAACTTACACTCTTTTGTCAAATGTGACAGTATATAGATTTACCAGTGGTTTGGCAAATATTAGATGTGTTCCTAGAATAAGAACTTTGAGGCTGAGAGTGGCAGTTGAATTACCCAGATTCAATGAGGTTAAGGAAGCTGAAGGAACTTTGTGACTCCTTTCTTGTAAGTGATTTTTGTAAAGAGAACTTTTTCCTCTGCCATTGCTATCCTTGATAGATCTGTTATAAAAGTTAAATCATTTATCAAAACTGCCACAGCTCCCATGACCCATAAAAGAAGGACTATCAGACCTTAATTGCAAGAGCTCTGTAATTTCAGAACTTCTCTTCCCTTGTTCACCTACTCTCCGACCTTTGTGTCAACTTCTAATTTCCTTCTGTAATTGACTCTGTTTCTAGTACAGCAAACTGTGGCAGCAGACGCATCTTCCTAATATGGTGGAAGATGGAAATAACGTTGTCAAATGTCTAGCAAATTTACTTATATCTATTTAACAATCAAGCTTCTGAGGGAAAAGAAAAAAAAACAAACACAAAGTACTAGTCTTAACAAGTTTCAGCTGAAAAAAGGAATGAGTATCCCTAAATCTTGAGGTTTTGGTTGTTTTTGTCTTTAATATGTAGACCAATAAGCACTTTGGCCCAAATTTGAAGATAATTAGGGCTTTAGGACAGCCATTTGGCTCAAGACTTGCTTATTCCAGTCACAAGGAACACAGCTAATAAATTGAGACGGAGCCCAAAAAGGGGAACTGGAACAGGCTCTGAGTATATTGTGTTGGGAAAAATTCATATCCAAGACGCATGCAGTAAAAAAGCTTCTACAGTGAGCTCTACCTTGGTCTTACTGTAGAAACATAGGCAAAAGTGTACTTACTGTTTGAATTGGTTTATATATACTCTAAAATAAGTAGAACAAGAGTTAGCCTTCTCTTTAGGTTGCATTCAGCTTACTTTTTAGATTTATGCATACAAAGATTTGAAGTCACATTTAGTTCTTGTTCATTCTTTGTACTTCTCCCATTTGACTAATAAAATTATAGAATGTTGTACTCACAGCTAAAATCCTCTCTTCAAGACTAAAGATCATTTAACAGCTCTATCTTTTTCCAACAGGTCTATCCTCCTCTTGTAAGATATGTACGTCAGATCAAAATATAGTAAATACCTTCAAGTAGGCTCCATTAATGACTGGAATTTTTCTTAACGAATGGTAACCGTGTGATTAAGAAAGTTAGGCATGTGATTAAAAGCCATTGGCTTGAAACTGAGATACTGCAGAGGAAAGTGTTTTAAAACAGGAGTCCTTAGAAAAATCCTGACAGTTAAATATGAAAGGACTGAAAATCTGAGTATGAGGATGAATTGTAAGGTAAGAACTCCACAGATTTCTTTTTGTCCTCCTTGAAGAGACTTGTTCCAGCACTGCCTTCCCAACTTTTCCTGCAAGTCACTGTAGTTACTGACTGATAGAGAAAATTGATTGGTTGTGTGTATTCATAAATGTCATTTACCTTATTGGTTAACCAGCATCACTAAGTCAGTAATTATAGTGCACACACAAAAAAATGGACTTAAGTTCTAATCTACTCCACTTAGAAGTAATGTTTAAGTAAATGAGTTATCAGTTCATAAGACAATGCTGTTGGCAATTATAACAACTGCAAATGACTTATTGTATATACTTCGTATATACCTAGCAGCTACAAGAAGAGAAAATATAGACGGTTCATTCTTGTGGAACTACAACTGAACAGGCCCAGTCTTACAGGACAGAAGAAGAAAGCATGATATCAGGTAAAGAACTTTTGTAACTTTTCATGTTCTACTTATGCCTGGGTTAAGGGAAACGTACCCTAATATACTGTGTCCACTTTAGACATTGTACTGTTTTCTATTCCATCAACTTTTTCTGCAGGCTACGTTTCCTGTCACTTGTTATTAAAACATTCAAGACTCTTGAGAGTAGATGCCCAAGACTAGATCTTTCCTTGCGTGTTTGAATCACGAAGGAGATATACCTGTATAACCTATTCATAATTCAAGAACAAAATTAATACCATAACTTCTGTTTTTATGTATAGATGTCAATAGAGACTGAAAAGTCTGAATGGTGAAAGTGAATAAGTCCCACCCAACTTTTTGCTCAACACAATCTCTGCCTCCACACCACCACCCCCAAAAAGTTTTCTATAACTTGCTCCTCAATAGCCACAGAGAGAGTCCATCATATTATATGTGTGTAGGAAAAAGTGGGAGCCTGTAAATACTACGTAGTCCTATGGTACCCATCAAATACAGGACTCCTTGCCTTTTCTCGATTTACTCTGTCTTGTTTTAAAATACGGCAACTGAAGGGACAGCCCTTTGTACTGGGGAAAGAACAGGTTTTTTTCCAAAGTTTAGAAGGCTGATGTATTATTTGTATCTGTCACATACGCAAGTTAGTTTGGTTTTAGCTAGGGACTGCTAAAATAAGCACTGGCCTCCACTTTCTTCTCTTTAATAACTTTTCTATCTTATGTTATTTTAACCTTTTGAGGCATGGGTTGGGGGTATGCATCCATCTAAGAAACAAGTCTACTTACCCTACTTTCTATGCCTTCACTTCTCTTCCTTTCAAGGGGTTAGAGGTCAGCAGGCACCATCCAATTGAAAACAATCATCATTTGAACAGCAGCAACAGCCGGAGATCAAGTAGCCATCACTGCTGAAACAGCTTCCTTCTGACTGGTGTTGAAACTGCTACTTATCAGCTAGATCACTTCGAAATACTCCCTGATCTATGAAGGTAAGTGAAAAGTACACATCTACAGAATTGTCTAAAATTTCACGTATCAGTGAATATTTTGCACTCCTCCATGCCTGGCAAGACAGAGTTACTATCTCAGAGAGTATTTTAGTATTGAAAGAATAGAAACACAATCCATATAACTTGTCAATACAGTAAGCAGCAAAAACAAGCCTTAGATGTTGCTTGTGTGACTACCAAAGAGTACAGGAAGTTGTTATGATTTAATAAGCAACAAAAAAGTGAGTATCTAAGCTAAAGCTGTCATACCTAAGAAACTGGCCTGCATGATCTTTACTTTCCTTAGAACAAAACATTAAAATTTTGCTAGAATTCAGTAACGGTACCTACCTTTTCTTGAGATTTGGTGTGGGGATGGTGTACTTCTATATCTAAAACTGTTTGTCGTTGATACCAACTTAATATAGGTAAGCATCTAGCATTTGGGAGTACAGTCCACAGCTATGCCACTTAACATATATGCAGTGTTGTGAGACTGTACAGAATTAATTGATAACCTCTCCTGATGCAAGTGGCTCAGCCCTAGAGGTGTCTGCCTCTCTTCATGTATTCAAGGAATGCTACAGGGCATAGTACAGACGAGACATTCAGCTTAAACTGAAATTGCACAAGGTGACTTTGGATATAGGAGCCTTAATTAAGAATGGTTTTGTCCAAGATAAAGATGTTTCCTGGTATGTACGGCATCAAGTGCCATTGTTAACAAAAATTATTTGGTATCAAAATCAATGAAGACTTGACAAAAGTCTAAAGAGAAAAGAGCTGACTCTGAAATCGTATTCTAGATACAGAAAATGCAGCTTTATATACTTACTTTTACATCCTGAATCTTCTGTCCTTGCTTCCAATCCTTTGGAGTACCTAGGGGAATCCAGAGATCTCTTCCCTTAGAGATAAATGTTAAAGTGATTAATTAGCAAAACTCCTAATTTCTCAAAAAGGCAAGGTTTCTTTAACCCTTTGGCAAATGCTAGACTGACTTTAGGAAAAGGAGGCTTGGTCCTGAGAGTTGCATCATCCACAGGCCTACCTGCTTTTAACTTTTTAGGAGACATTGAAATAGGGAGAAAATAGGAGAGGTTTCAGTGTGGGTAGATCTGCCTTCCCTAGTATGTCAGAGCAGAATCCTTATAAGGCTAGTGGCTCCTTGGAATCATAAAATGATGTTAATTCCAGTCTCTTCCTGGTCTTGCTCGTTGGCTTTTCTCCCAGTTACAACTAAAACATGATATTGAAGGCACTTCTGGAATTCAAAAGGAAAAGAATAATAGTCATTCATTTTCAAAAACAATGGCAGAGCTTTGTATGCCTGTCTTTTATGTGAGGTGTCTCAGATTTGTCCACTCCAAATTCAGAATGCTAAAAGGTGAACCAGGTAGTGTGAAAGAATGATTCAAAGCAGTGGACAGGAAAAGAGCTGTCTGTCCTCTCTAACATATATATTCCACTCATAGCAACTAACACAAGTTCTGTAAAGAAGCACTACACAACTACGGTGTTTTCTTTTGAGGTTGTTTGTTGGTGTGTTTTTTTTTGAGTTCTCCAAATACCAAAGCTGTCCTAGTCTTTCATACTGTCCTCTACATGTGCTAGTTCTCAAGCAAGTATCTTCAAAAGCTAAGGTATACTGTTTAGCAAAGGCAAATAGGTTTAACAGGTAGAGTAGGAAAAAGAAATCTTGCATTATGCTTCAGAGTGAGTTCAAGATCTATGTGTACCACATTTTGTAAATCTTTTGTCTACATCTATATTTGTCTACACTATACAAGTCACACTTTAATAGCATAGCGCTGAGAGAAATGGTTAAGAGACCAAGTTTTGATGCCTACTTTGTCTCCAAACAGGTGATAGGAGAAAGAGCATAGAAAAAAGAAGGTAGCAAGAAAATAATAGAAACATAAATAATAAATGTATTCTGTAAGTGTCGTAAGAAAGTATCAGAAGCACTGGAAGCCACTTTAGTGAGCTAGAAACGTGCATTCACATGCCAAGCTGTGAGTCAGGTGAGATACAGCTGAAGAAACAGATTTGGTAAAAACTCAGATAGAAGAGGAGAAGTAATGCTATCAATGTAGAAATAGGATGCATGCTTTGTCCAGTATAATAGTGCCTCTTTGGCCTAAATGAAAGGTAGACATGATAATTAGATGTGGCTTGAGACATGCTGGGTAAGCCATGCAATGAGAAATAGCAGGAGAAATTAGTTTCTCCAGGGAACACATGATGTGCATTGGTCTAGCTAGGAAGCCTTGATTCTTCACTTTCTTTCTTTCTCTGCTTATAGCGCAGCTGCTCCCAGCTGTCAAAGAAAACTGCATAATAATCTCTAGGCATATCACTATAATTACTTCACATTTATTGAGGTAAGTACGAACTGACAACCAGGGAGTAGGTTAAGGTTTCTTAAGCAGACAAGAGAAAAACATTTCATACCAGCTTAGAAAGTGTTTTTGCTACTGCAACTAATGTTCAGCCTAGGATTAGTGTAGAGACTTTAAAGTGTTCTTTCTCTACGTACAGAGAAAACACTTACCTGACTGTATGATCAGAAGATAAGCAGTGATCCAGAAGGGGCAATAACATTCGTCTGTTTTGCAGTTATAGACTATAGCTTCATACACAGGCAAGGCATTGCATCTATCCCTTCTGTAGCAATGGAAAGCCATTGGTATCTAAGGATGGAAAGAACAGTTATCCAATACCTATGGTAGTTACACACAAAAACAATGCATTACTATTTTGTACTGCAGATTTAAGAAAACATATATATGAAAAAAAGACGGTATAGTTTTAGTTAACTGAATATCATTTTTTGTTGTTTTGGGTAAATACTTAATTTCTCTTAGGGATTCTTTGTAAGCATTATTTATTCCTAAAAATCAGTGGTATAATTAACAGGGACTGACCATTGTGATAGAATGTGATAACTAAATCGACAATCTAGAGAGCCCCTACAAGAAACTGACATTTTTGATAGACAAAACAGCAAGAGAGGCCCTATCCAAGGCAGAACAGGTAAAGAATTTCTCCTTCCTAGACCACAATTTACTTTCTTCAGTGCTAAATTTCTGTAGAAGATTTCTTTAAACCCTCAACCTTTTGTTCTTCTCTCATTATTTCCTGAAGAATTTTTAAGAACTCCCTTGGAAATATCATATCTAAACCCTTTTTAGATTAATAGCTTTTGTTTAAATAAACTTTCCCCTTTTCATTAAAATCACTTTGCTCTTGTTAATTAAAACCAACCTTTAGAGTATAGTAGTGATTACGGACTGATATTCTTCTCTGCATACTGAACTGGGACACCTACTCTAGTTCAGAGTGCTATAAAGACTTACAATTTAACTACAGTTTAAATGAGTTCTTAAGTCTTTTGAAATAGGGAGAACATTTTTTAACTACAACTTGCTAAACATTTTGCTGTAACTTCTGTGAAATAGGCAGTAACTAAAGTGCTAGGGACTCATTTTCTCTACTCTGAGATATCATGCTCCGAAGAACTTGAATGAAATGTGAAACTGGTTGTAAAATCAGTCAAATGGCCCTGAAGGAAAATTTATTCTATTAATAGATGTGGCTGCCATACAAATAGATTACTTTCCCCTGTCAAGAAATTAACTTTCTAGTTAATATTGCTTCTGTGCAAAACCAAACTGTACAATCCTTGTAAAACTAGAATACTTCTTGTCAGGAAAAAAAAATGTTTTATGTAAGACACAGAACTTACAGCAATTACCTAGCTATACTAGGAAGTCTTGCTTCTGAACATGGAAACTAGATGAATGCCTTAAATACTGTAACTCATGCTTTAACACAAAACCTTGCTGCTGACTTTCATTAAGTGAGTGCATGTATGCCAGCAAAGCTTACAATACATGGGTAGGGGGGGAAAAAAATTAACATCAAGCTCTTATGCTGAACCAAATAGTAGAAATGCCGCTTCAGCTTTAGCTCTGTTTTCAGACTCACCCTGCATATAATCAGGCTCATCTTATCCCTAGCTGTGGTCTAAAGATACTGAACATCAGAAGTAAAACGTTCAAAGTAGAAGCTTGATTTCATATGCTTAAATTAAGAGCATGGAGGAAGATGCTTGTATTATGGGTATGGCTAGAACATCAAGGTATTTCAGTTTAGGACAGATAATTAGTGGATGGTGCAAGTCTAGTCAATAGAGGCACTACCAGTTCACATGAGTTAAGGATCCTGTCTGTTTTGTACAGATTTCTTTAACCAGATTTACCAGCTGAGGTAAGGGGAGATTAAAAAAAAAAAGAGAGGAGGTAAAGGGGATCAGATCCGCCCCCCGCTAAAGTTGATAGCGTATTCACATATGCTCTGACGTGGCAGGATGGCCTATGGCTAGGTATGGGAAGGAGTTTGGATAGATAACACTCTGTATTTCCCACTCCTTTTTCACGTTTCTGTGTTTTCTCTGCCCCCTGCCATTCTGGAAGGTCTCGAGCAATTGTCTGTTCTGGCAATTAAAACAGTAGGGTGCAAGTGCTGTACCTCACTGACAAACTGAGTGGCCTTGAGCAAATGCCCTGGGGAACTCTCCAAAATGGCATCCTGTTGTGTTTGTCACTCTAATTAAATGCAAGTGAAATAGGCTACAAAGCACTAAGTCTCCAAAGCAGCAAAGCTAGGAAAAAAACATGACAAAGTGATCTGGGTAGTGGTCTGCAAGTGTCAACTGTAAGCTATTATATTTTAAGGTAAGGGAAAGACTTCTGTGTTCTGCTCTACATTCTTTGCTAGGAGTTTTTAATGAACAGATTAGCAGAAGGAAGTTGAGTCAGGAGGCAAAAGTGAGAGCAGTCTAAGATGAAGACGATCATTCATTTCCCTCACAAGCCCTATTTAAACTGTTAAGACAACACTCCTGCACCCCCTGAAAAATAAAACAAAAACAAACCACCACATCTTGCTACTCATCTACCTTCTAGCAACTGTGTTGTCCTGGCTTAGGAGTGTGTTACTAGTTGCTGTTGCAAAGCAAACAGGGTCAACCCCTGTGCTGTACTCACGTTTACAGTAGGTGCCAAATGCTGCACAAGTATCAGAACTGGTTTCATTCAAGAAGTTTCCAGCTGTCACAGTTCCTAAAGAAAGAGTAGAAAGCAAGACTGACTTTACAGCAATTAAATACAGACATCCCCCTGCCATCCTTCCCCAGTTTTATTAGTGCTGAATCTTACCCCTGCAAAATTTAGTGACTGGTTTAGGGATCAGAGTTTCTGAACGTTGGGAATTGGGCCTTCGTGCTGCTCCTGTTGCCCTAGGGCTGGAGCAAGCTTCTTATAGGAATTCTTCTGACATAGAGCTAATACCATGGGATCCATTTAAAATGCCTAAAGTCATTTTCCATTCAAATTGCTAACTCCTCTTTTTTATTAGGTATGTTTTCAAAGATAGCTTTGTGTACGACTAAACAATTCATCATTTTTTAGTATAGGAAAGAACTTTTTAAAATACAGATACTTACAGCCTAAGCAGTAGTTTTCACTTAGAAATGTGTTTGCAATATGTTCAGCTTCTTCACTAAGACTTACTAGAAAGTGGAAATACAGACTCATTTATCACAATCTGAAATTCTAGTTGTTTCTTTAAATGCTGATTTTTGCAAAGGCTTTAATTCCCCATATGGAGGCACTAAGCACCAGCCCATTTTGTTCCTGGCAAAACTGGGGGAAAAGCTTATTTCAAATTTCTAATTAAAATTCTTTCTTGCTGCATAAGGAGCCCTGATGGGATTCCTCAGGGTAGTTGGATGGGTTTCTGATTGAATTACAACTGGCCTGATTGTGTGAATATTTCATTTAAATGTTCTGAACTGAAAACAGCAATTAGTGACAACCTGAATAATAAAAAGCACTACTTTACCTTCAATCCTCTTTTCTCCCACAGTTGATTCAAATTAGATGCTTAGTCACTAGAAAAACAACAAACAAACAAAAAATGAAGCAGGAGTCAGCGCCTGGGAAGAGAAGTCAACAACCATCACCCAAAAGCCAGAAGTACTGTGGTTGGAGGCGATGACTGCGTACATGACACTGTTGCTGCAGAGCTGCCATCACGAAGCATGACTGTGCTCCTGATCTTTCATTTATCCAATAACCTGTGCTAACTTTGGTTTTGATCCAATCTCACCTCAGGTAATTTCAGTATACATTCTCATCTTGTATTTATTGATACTGAGTTTTTCACTGTAGAACCATACTGCCCATAGGTTCACTAGGACAAACTCAGTTAAAAATTCTGAAACAAATGTATTTGCGAAGACATTTTTTGGGTGAATTGCCCACACTTAGAAATAGGAATTTTGGCTAGGGCAGTTAGACGTGATCCAGCTGTATATAATTCCCTGGCTGGATTATAAATGCTTGCTAAAGCATACAATCCCTTGAGCTGCTACACAATGTGCTATTCTGGAGGGAATGCAAGAGTTGGAGAGGTGTTACAGCTAAACTAAATGCTGGGAGTTGACAGGACATGCAGTTTCTTTTGACTTGTTCTTGAAAACCACTACTAACAACTATGACAGGTTCTGTATCTGTAGTTGATTAATAGAACTTTTCTGAATGGCAGAAAATAATTTTAATCATTAGTGGAAAAGGTTATCATTAGTAGTGATCCACAATGTTAACCACAAGCTTAAATTGTCGATTTGATTATCATAATTGTAACAGCACAGTGACTAAATTGGGATCAGTTATTAGTAGGACTAATATGCTCCTATTACGGAGTTTTCAATGGCTATATCAATACCCACAGATCAGAATAAAAACTGTCCTTGTCAGAAACAGCTCAAAATAAGCTAGCAGAGCTATATTGGCTCAAAGAACAGAGCTAGTAAGAATGACAGGAAATAAACTCACAAATTATTTAGTCTTCTGCAACAGCCACAGTGAATTCACCTGTAGAATGGAGTCAGCACAAAACATCGCACAAGAATCAGTACTACAAGTCTCTGATACAAAGATATGGACTTATTCTGCTAACTGCAAACTGTTCAGGCCCTGTCTGTCCCTTGTCACCCATGAAGAACATCTTTCACTATGCCTGACTTGTATGGTACTACCTCACAAACAGATTCTTCCACATAAAAATGAGCTTTCTCCTTACTTAATTTCAAGTGTTTTCAAATTGTTTTTAACCTGAAATGTATCAAAATTGTATTTAAAGATACCATTCTTCTTTTGGAGCTTTCTTCTCAGTTGTAAAACTCTGCATATTATAACAACAATTTATCATTAAAATTTGAAAAATATTCTGCATGTCTTCTTAAATTTGTTTTTTTTTTTTTTTTTCTCCTACAGGATAAACTTTACACACAAATGGTGTTTATAAAATATTTCCCCTCTTGTACAGCTTTTCATGCTTCTATCCTTACAGTAGGAGCAGTTCCCTTAAATGTATTCTGCCTGAATTTCTCATTCTAGTTTAATTTTCAAACAAATTCAAATCTGAAAGTAAAACACAGCTGAAAACAGTATGTTTTGCACTTAAAAATAATTGTAAGAAGTTCTCACAATAAACAATAAGCTTACAGTTTACAGTGAGGTGCATCTGGAGTGCTATATCCAGTTCTGGGTGCCCCAACACAAGAAAGATGCAGACAGAAAAGAGTGCTGCAAAGGGCCACTAAGATAATAAAGGTCACGCAAGCTGAGGCTGAGGGAGCTGGGCCCGATTATGATGAAGACAAGGGATGGCGAGATCTTATTAATATGTATAAATACCTGATGGGAGCATGTAAAGACACTGGAGCCACACTCTTCTCAGTGGTACCCAGTAGGAAGATGAGAGATGAAGCAGGTAGTCTAGAGAGCCTGTGGAATCTTCATCCTTGGGGATACTCAAAACCCAATGACAGTCCTGTGCGACCTGCTCTAGCTGAGCCTGCTTCAGGAGCTGGGGTTAAACTAGATGATCTCCAGCAGTTCCTTCCACCCTCGGTTAGTTTCCAATTCTAGGATACCTGCCAGATGGAAAGCATGCTGTGCATGAGCTTACACCAACATTTCATATTGTTATCAGTTGAAACCCACTACTCCCTCGCAATCCCCTAAAAGGTACATCAAGTACAGGGAGAGGGAGCAGGCAAGGTACAGCGGGCAGACAGATCGTTGCCTTGCTTTCCAAAAATGACCCTGACATCACTACCAAACTGAGTTTTACTAGCCTGTACATGGGCTCATACATAAAGAGGCAAAATTCATCTTTACATAGATGATGAAAAACTTGAACCTGCATGCTTAAACGTTATGAAACACTCTTTACTGTGCCACACATTTTAGCTTTTCTACAGAACAGTTTTACAGAGTCCATATCCCCCCCCATTCTGTTTCTGATCCCCAAGATTTTAGATAAGACCTTAAAAACATGCTGATCAACTGCGTAAGCCTACAGCCTTATGTCCAGAGCGAGACAGTTTAAAGATCTGCCAATTTTGTTTCTCATATGAAAAACGTTTCCATCAGCTTTTATATTTAAGCTATTACAAAAGAAGTTTAGTTTTTTGGAAACACAGCAGAAACCCTGACATTTTTAAGATTAAAGCATTTTGGTTTTGGTCCATAACAACATGTCTAAATTAAACTGATTTTAAAAGTTCCATAACATTTATAAGAGGTCAAATTAGGTTGACAAATTCTGATTTTAATTAAAACCAAAAGAATTTGAATTCCAAGACCTCAGTTTTCCTACATAATTTCCATTTTACAGCAAGACTAAACCACTTTTATTTTTAATTGGAAGTCTAAGAAAATACCTTTTTAGAAGTAATAGAACTTCCCACTAAACAAAAAGCCTGTAGTTCAGTCCCATTTCTTTTATAACAAAGGCTGCTGCATTTATGACATTAGATTGCTGATTTTAAAACCTCCAAACAAAAGTGTAAAATTACTATAAATCATCATTTCAACAATTACCAAAAGTATCCTGCATATGAGTATGTACAATTAGTTATTGTTTAAACCCGTATTTCTTGCACCTCTCCATTTGTTACAGTACTCTGTTTTCTAGTTGAATTTAGACTTCTCAGAATTGCCAAACATGCAGACCCTTGTTTACTCTAGACTAAAGTCTCTCCAATTCCACATGACTACAGTTCTTTCTATCTAGTAAGCGACTCTATCACTACCACAAGGAAAAATCTGTTTGTCTATACAGGCAGACAGCAGGTTACAGGTACAAAAGAAGCAAGCTGGAGAGCCTGCTTTGTCTTACATGCATCAGGCACACAGTTGATTAGACTTTAGATTGTAGCATTTTTATGTGTAGGAATGAGTCAGAGCCAGCTGGAAAGCTGTATTTCCAGAGCCCAGTTGGAAGTTCTAGTGCCAATACTTAATCAGACGTGCTCTATTTATACATTGAAAAGATAGCTTAAAACTAGGCAAAATGACTGTGTAAAAAAAAAAAAATTAAAAAATCAAAAGCTTACACAAAGTTTTTGTTCTTTTGTTACAAGTAAGGTATTTACTCATAGAAGAGTAGGTAATTTAAGAAGTAAAAACGAAACGAGAAAAGGTCATCACATGTTCTTCATTTCTTTGCTTCCCTAACATACGAAACTAGTCTTGTTAGAAGGAACATTTATATCAAATGCTGACCTCTCAAGGCTCCAGAATGCAGTACAAACATTTTCAAAGTTTCTAATGCTCTGTTAGCTAGGTTCAAACAGGGTCCCAGATATTCAAACACTGCTTTAAAGAGAAACCCACAGTTTGGATCCTCAAGTTCCCTTGCTCAGCTCCTGCTCTGGAGCTGGTTAAACTTGTGTGGCACTGTATTTCACCACTAGACAGGCACAGTGCGGCACAGGTGATGCCCTGGTAGTGATTACACTGCTTGGTGTCTAGCACTGGGGCGTCCTCTACACTAGGCACTTTTCTTTCTAGCTTGAAGAATTACCCAAGCAGATGATTATGGTTAGAATATTCTAGCTATCTATGACTTCTCACAAAACACATGCTGATTAAGATGTTCGCCTTTTCCTCAGTACCCCATTATTGGGGTAATCATCTGTGCAATTCAGTGAACAGAACTGGTCACCTTTCTCTTAAGGGAAGGTACCAGATCGTCTACTGTGGCCCAGCAGCTGTGTAAGTCAGTGCATTTCAAACACCTCTGTCCTGTCCTGAGGACAATTTCTATTCACACTCTCTTCCTACCCATTCCTCAGGGCATGCAGCCCTTACGTGCAAGATAATTCCTCTCCCTAGAGCCAACATGGACACCACCTGTTCTGGAGATCTCAGTAGGGACTGTGTTTTCCAGCTGTGCCCTTGATCTCTGTCATGGTCTTCCAAAAGAATAGTTTATTTACTTATTTCATAAACAAAACAGCAGCTTTTGACAAGATAGAGACATTAGATGGGAAAAGGCTAGTCTCCTGCTATCTTAGACACTTAACCCATTCCTACTTCAAACCCCACAGCCCCTACTCTGCCAGCTGCAAAACACTCCTGAACACTTTGTAGAAGACTAAATGCAGCAGAACAAAATTGTGTTACAACCACCACCAGTTTCCAAGCACCTGCAATAAGCAGTGAGTCACGGTGACAATGCCCAGATAGCTCAAGGAAAACAGATCAGACCTGGTCCCTATCAGTCTGACTTTGGAGCAAAACTCAGCAAGCGGGCAAAGAGTTGCAGCTCAAGTCCTGCTCAGCTTGTGGCAACTGAAAACTTTGTGCAGAACAAATTATACCCTTACCTCGGGAGAGCACTGAGACCCAGGACCCTATGTAGCCAACAGACTGCAGTACGCTGCTAGTGCAGCAGGACTCTGGGTGAAGGGGTAAGATTACATGCTATAGAGTGCACTCCATAAACATTTGACAAAACAACAATACCAATAAACTTTCAAAGAAAGAACCATTGCAACAATTACCACTCAGGAGTTTTATGATTTTGAGGAGATTTGGTACATGCTCATACTGCCCTACAAGGCTGCACAAAGCAGTTTATTATTTGATAAATTCAATGAGGACCCACAACTATACAATGACAGAGTAGTGACAGGAAAGAAAGCGCAGAGGTAAGGCACCTCAATCTGTACTGATCCTACATGCTGCAGAATCTGCAAGAAGAATCAGAATTGCTTGAAGCCTTTTCAAAAGACTTCAAGATATTTAATTTCTAAGCTACTTCAGAAGTAGACATAGGACTGTAGAAGAGAATCCATTACCATATGTCCACAGACTAACTCTAGACAAACCTATTCAAGATTTGCTTACTTAGGAGCCCTCAGACATCCATGATTCCTCCAGCTGTTATTTTAATACAAACTGGTAGAGAAGATGAAGCCCTGATACAGTTCAATAATCCCTGGAGTTCATTTAATCGAATATACTTTGTTTTGAAAATATTACAGAAATTCCAGCAAAAAATAAGTGTCCCATGCAATTAAACATGGCACATACTGTTTATGCACCGTACAGATACTGGTGTGCCCCACCATTCAAATAAAGACAGAGCAGCTCTACCTCAGTTAGTGCACAGGGAATGAAAACACTAACATTTTCTTCTAACTAAAACAAAAGAATCTTATAGTGCTTTGGAGCAGGGATATACTCGATTCCTTGGTTTTAGAAGGTAAGTCTGAAAACTACCCGTTAGGATGCACATCACCAAGTAAGCCTGGCAAACTGCATATACCTAAAAATATCAGTTTGTTCCTATAGTCAAATATGGATTTTATTATATTCTAGTTGATGTGTCTCATCATACTGTAGCTATAATGCATTTGATACAGCTTATAATATAAATCAACTTTATGCATTTTTCCAAGTAGGATTCTTTTTTCCTTGTAATTAGTAATAAAAGAATTGCTTTTTACGGGTTAAATTGTATTTACATGGATTTCATTGACAAAGGAAAGCCTTTCAATTTCAACATCCATAACGATGTTATGGATGTAAGAGCTGAAAACAAGAAAAAAACATGTTTACATGCTAGAATGTCTTTCCTAAAAGTACAGATTTGATAATGGTTTTAGACAAGAGAAGTGAAATCATATCCCAAGGGCACATGAACTGGCTTTCAGTGTTTCCTTAATTTTTGGAAGACACAGACAACAGCAGATCATGATGCATAATACTTCTCAAATTATCTTAATGTTTAGATGATATTGGATTCTTTATTAATAGCTGTCACATGCCTTATATGCTTGAAATCTTCTGCTGTATGCAACAGTGAACATTTCAGACAAGACTGCTTAAAACCTGGAGTCCATTCCAAAAAATAAAAAAAAAAATAAAACCCTAATCTAAAAGGCCTAAACTTACTGAAAACCCACCAACAATCTAAAACAGCGTGACCTGCTCTTCTGACTGTGAGTAAATTGCCTTCTTAGTATGCTGTTGTGTGTTTTTTACTTCAAAAAAAATGATTGGAGTGTTCCCAAATAGCTTTTCAATTATAACAGAATTCTTAGTCTAGTAGCTTAGAGACTGTAGGTTAAGAAAACACATTTATTACAGAAGACCTTGAATGCAGTAATTAAGTGGCACAAATGAATCATAACTAGATGAAATATCAGATCAGATTGCATGCACACAACTGTATTCCTGTTCCTATACACACCATACTACACACGTCTGCCATAACTGAGTAAATTTGCTCCATGCCACAGCAGCTCTCAGCAAGAGCACTTCTATAGAAGTTATCCGGGAAACCAACACCACGGAGTACACTGATCGTGGCTGTGTTTGCTTTGCACTCACAGGATGCACGTCTTGGTGAGTGTACCCGCAAAGCACATCACCTGTGAAGTGCTGATGCGACCAGGAATGCTGCATGGACCTGTGATTAGTACAGTAGTCTCAGGAGTCCTGACCTCTACTGCCTGCTCTTTAATTAAGATTTATTATAGTAACTGTCAGAGCCAACCAGAAACAGGGTGCTCCTTTTTGCTGAGCACTTTAATACACAGTAACTGAGGTCATTTCTGTATAAGGACACTCAGGAGAG